AGCTCTTGGGAGGCTGTAAATAGGAGAATCACTACGAGTCTGATCTAGTAGTGAGACCCTGAACACCCTGTAGAGCCTTCCCTAAAATACAGAAAAAAAAAAAAAAAGAAAAGAAAAAAACCAAAAACAGATTCATTGATTCTAGGGTTTAAAGAAAGGGTGTAGGCAATTCTAATGAACTTGGATGCAGAAATCCCCCACAAAGTACTAGCAAATTAAATAAACAATGTATAAAAGGAATTATACTTCAAGACCAAGTAACAGTCTCATTATGCAAGGTCAGATCAACATTTGAAAGTCAATGATTGTGCTTTACCCACATCAATAAGCAAAGATTAAAAAGTCAATAAGCTAAAAGAAAAACTCACATAAAGTGCAGAAAAAACCATTTGATTAAATTTAAAACTGTTTTATATTAGAAACTCAATAAATGAATAGAAGGTGAACTTCCTCAATTGTACATACAAAAATAATAACTGACATATTTTATGATGAGAAATTATCAGCTTTCTCACAGTATTGGAAGAAGGCATAGATGTCCTCTGTACCACTGTTTTTTAACCTTATTTTGGAAGTCCTAACTAATGCAATAACTCAAGAGAAGGAAAGTAAAAATATATAAATCAAAGGAAGAAATAAAACCACCTTGTACTTCAGATATCATAATTAATGTAGAAAATCCAGAATTGAATGAGAAGTCCCTCCTGGTATTATTAAGAAACTATAGTAATGTTTAGAGATGCAAGATTAATACAAAAACTTATTTTTTTCTTACTTACCAACAATTATGTAAAATTTGAAATTTAAAATACATTCCCAGTTACATTAGCACCTGACAAGAATAATAGGTAGAAATATAATGAAATATGACAAGATCTAGATGGAAAATGTCTCAAAGCTCCAATACAGGACAACAGACCCACTGTATAAGTGAAGATATATCATTTTTATGAATAGCTAAACTCAGGATTATCACATTGCCATTGCTTCCCAACTTGATCCATAGGTTCAGTGTAACAGAAATCAGAGCCCTAACTAAAGTGGATATTGATAAATTGTTTCTAAATTTTGGAAAGGCAAAGACCTAGAATAGCCAACAGAATATTGAGAGTGAGAAAAAAAGAAATTGCTGGCACTATGGACTTCAAGATACAGCTACAGTAGTGAAGATAGTGCACTATTAGTAAAATAAAAGCCAAATAAGTCAATGGAATAGAATAAAAAATCCAGAAATATGTATACATAAACATAATCAATTGGCCTTTGATATTTGAGTGAAGTCAATGCAATGGATAAAAAGCTTTTTTTAAGCAAAATTGTGCTGAACAACTGAACATTTCCATGGAAAAACACACAGCAAGATTTACATTTCATTGAAAACTCAAATGGAAAATTATTCATCCCTAGAAAGAGTTATCAAGCCATAAAAAGACACAGGGAAATCTTAAATGCATGTTACTAAGTGAAAGAAGCCCATTAAAAACCCAACAGTGACATGCTGTATTGTTCCAATTATATGTCATTCTAGAAAAGACAAAAATGTAAAGAAAGGAAAAGATCAATGATTACTAGTTGAAAGGAGACAATTACATGGAGTGCAGAGCATTTTTAGGGCAATGAAAGTCTTCTGTATGCTGCTGTATTGGAGGATACAGTCATACATTCTTCAAACCCATGGGAGTGCAACACCAAGAGCATATACTACAGTACAATCTACTGACTTCAAGTAATGGAGCTGTGTCCATGGAGATTAGTCAATTGGAACAAACTTACTCCTCTAGTGTGAGTTGTTGATGGTGTGGGCTATACATTTACACTGGCAAGTGATACATGGAAATTTTCTGCTCAATTTTTCTGTAAATCTAAACTTGTTCTAAAAACATGAAGTCTATTGGAAAAAAGTTATAGCATAGCATCATTTCCTGCCAAGGTGTGCAGCCTGCCCTACACCTAAAATTTCAGATTTACTATTCCTTACAATTGCTGAACCAATTCCTGAGGGATATTAGTAGCAAGGAATTAATTCTCCTAAAGAGATATATCACTCACAAACACAAAATTTGCTTTTATGACCCTTGTTTTACTACTAGAAATTGCAGAAATACACCGCTGTGGTCAAGCCAAGTAACTTTTTTCAGGGCACCAAAATTTAGTTTGTTTCCCCTAGTTGTCTCACTAATTCTTGTCCCTTCCATATAAAAAAGAAAGGTAGAATAGCTGAAGCACAGTGCAAGCTGTTTTACTTAAAAAAAAAAAAAAAACAACAACAAGCAAATATTGTATGTCACCAAAAGCTTTGCCTTGCTTTTTGTCAAAGAATTAATTAGCTTGCATTAACTTGAACTTGACACTTTTGAAATCTTTCTAGGTGCTTCTCTATAAAGAGTCTTTCTAATCACTGGAATATCTTTTGTGAGTGGCTCCAATTTTTTACAAAAATCTTCAGAATATCTATAAGTTTTGTCTACCTATATTTTACTCTAAATGTGCCTGATTTTGCTTAAAATATTCACAGGTTTTACTAGACATAACAATAAAAAGAAAATGATTACCTGTAATTTCACTGCAAAAAGATAAATTTAACCTCATGACTTCTTAAAACATGAACTTACAGTTCTGTTTTTTTTTTTAAATGTATCAGATCAGACTCATAGTGATCCTCCTATTTTCAATTTCCCAAGCTTTGGGATTAGAAGTGCACGTCACCATGCCCAGTCTCAATTGCCATCTTGGCACACCCTGGGGGTGGGTCTGGAATGGCATGCTGGAGATTGAGGTCCAGTCCCTGTGTCTGCCTAAGCAGGCGCTTTAATCCACTGAGCTATCTGGCCTGCCCTAGCACTGATTTTTATTACATTATTGCTTCCAAAATCTACAGCTCACTTGATTTAACAATTTTTATTTTAGAAAATATTTTATAAAAGAACCCAGAAAATAAAGAACTGAGTACAAAATTGGCACATAATAGGCACTTAACAAGTATTGATTTCTTGTTATGTACATACATTACAATAAAAGACTGCTTTTTTGATAAAGGACATAGGATAGTAAGGAAATAATATAAAATATAGTAATTTCTCTTAAAGTAATTATGAAATATTAGCCTTATATACACTATTGTCCTTCTTGACATGATCACCACAGTATAGCAAATATATATATTGGCAGAGAGAGAGAGAGAGAGA